GTGTGTGTGTGTGTGTGTGTGTGTGTGTGTGTGTGTGTGTGTGTGGGAGGGAGCGAGAGCAAGACTGTGGTTAATTAAATTGATCATCCCACTCCTCTGTGTTTTCTTTTTTCAGAACCTCAAAGTAAAAGGTCCTAAAGACTCCAAAGATTGTACCACATCTGTCACAATGGAGGGTAAGTGTGTGTGTGTGTGTGTGTGTTTGTGTGTGCATTTTAGTCTGTGTCTATTTGTGAGTGTGCGTGTACATCAGTCCAGGCTAGCTTGCTGCTTTAAGACTCTAGTACTGCCCCGTTCTACTTGTGTATGCAGTGGTGGGCTTTGGGAGGCAAACTGGCACATGTGTTAGCTCTCTGTCTCTCTCTCTCTCTCTCTCTCTCTCTCTGTCGCTCTCTCCTTTCTCTCTCGCTCTCTCTCTCTCTCGCTCTCTTTCTCTCTCTCGCTGTCTTTCTCTCTCTCTCTCTGTCTCTCTCTCCTTTCTCTCTCGCTCTCTTTCTCTCTCGCTCTCTTTCTCTCTCTCGCTGTCTTTCTCTCTCTCTCTCTGTCTCTCTCTCCTTTCTGTCTCGCTCTCTCTCTCTCTCTTTCTCTCTCGCTTTCTCTCTCTCTCTCGCTGTCTCTCTCTGCCTGAGAAAGGATGCAGTGAGCAGGAGAACAGAGTCAGGAGAGGAGATGAGGGACATGGAGGTGCTTCTGGTCCTCAGACTGTGTTGTAACTGCACATACGGTAACGGCCGCATGTTGTGACCCGCCGCCGTTTCGATTTGGGGCAACTTGGAGCATTGTTTATTCCTTTTTCCCGTCGTTTACCTGTGAGCCAGGACGTCGTCGTCGCCATTGATTCCACGGTAGATTGGTTGTTTGCTGTGAAGTTGGGACAGCTGCTGACAGGCTGTCAGATTGATTTGGGATATTCTGAGCTTTAAGAACTGGTGCTCATGATGCACAAATAGTATCTTGTCTGCTGTTGATTTTTCCTGTACATTTATGTGCAGTAGCCCGCGTAATGAGGTGATGAAGTCTTTTGAAGTGTCGGCGCTTTTGTGTGCTCGCCGAGTGATGATCCTCTGAGAATATGCAGCGCACCGGGACTGGCAGACTCCAGTTGTTCATGTCTCTTTAACATACAGAATAATATACAGGAGGACAGCAGCTTTTGTGTGTGTGTGTTTGTTTAAAAGCAAGGCACGTTTAGTCTGCATCAGGGCTGTTGGCCTTAGACTGCTCCTCGGAGAGAATACTCATCGCCAGAGGATCGGAGTGAGTTTGTGCGTTTGCCTGTGCTCTGCTGGTGTCTTGCAAACTTGAGCCGTTTTTCGGGAATTTGGCACAACCGAACCAAGAGGGGTAGACACCTTGCTGCTGCAGGGGAAATAATGAAACGCTGTCCGATTGTTAGACGCGATTAGCAAACGGTGTGGCTTTGTCTGGCTGAGACAGGGTGGATGCGTGTGTGTTTGTCTGTGTGTGTGTGTGTGTGTGTCAATCTACAGCCTCATGTACCTGTGAAGTGTCTGTTAATTAATGCGGCGTAAATGAAGAGCGACCCAAACATCCTGATTGTTATCGTCACGTTAGTTTTTCCTTCTTTACTGCTGAGACTGCACTGTAATATATTAAAGCGCTCTCTGATTGCTTTTGTCTGTACCATTGTTTTCCATTGCTGTCATATTTCCTCAGCAATCAGTGTTCGTCAGCACCCAGGGCAGTTGCTTTGATTACTCTTTGTGTTGCGGTTCCTTAATTACCTGGCCAGGTGGTCCAGGGATTTCTCCAGCTCAGCTCTGAAACTCCCGCTCCCTCTTTCATCATGCTTTCCTCCCACCTGCCTTTCCTCCCTGTACCCACCCATCCATCCATCCTTCCCGCCTTCCACCTCATTTAAGTAGACCCCAGCCTTCCCCCGGCTTTTGCATATTTTCTTCATTGAAATAAATCAATTTGTCATACTTGTTTCCATATAGCTCACTGTTTTATCTGCCAGCCACCGCTTAATGAATTGATGCAAATAGCAACAGTGTTAAATCAAACATCTGACATCCTGTTTTACATGTAAATGGGGACTCTTGCTCCCCACCATGACCGCTTTCTCTCTGTTTTCTTAATCCGTGTGTAGCCGCCTCTGTCACTCTGCCGTCTCTATTTTCCCTCTCCTGTCGCTCTGTCCTCGTCGTCCTCCGTCACGGCTGCTGCCTAACATTGACGGCTGAATGTCTTGCCAAATTATCCTGGCAGTCTCCGCGTCCCAGCTGAGGGGCCGTGCAGTGTGTTGATGTTCAAAGACATTGCCTACACGGTCCCCCCCTTAGCAAAGATGAACTGTCTGTCCACCAGCCAAGTCGTCAAGGCGACCTTGAGAACAGGACCAATCAGAGGCACCTCGCAGCGACGGGTCATCGACTTCCGATAATCCGCCTCCTCTCTGATCCTCTCGGTGTTCTCATCCTCTCTCGTCCTGTCTCTTGACTGGACTTTGAACTTTGTGGTGGAAGGTGTTATTGATCTTTCTGTAACCGCATTGGGACCTCGTCCAGACTAAAATATCTCGACTTCTGTTTGAGGGATCTGATTCGATGGACATTTGTTGTCCTCAGAGGATGAATCACACCGACTTTGGTGATCCCTTAACTTTAGATCCGGCGCTATCATCAAGTCAAAATGTGCCCAATACTTTGGTTTTTGGCCAAATAGCTGCAACACTAAATGACATCTGCATCAGCCTCAGCTGTAATTTGTGTTTAGTGCTAATTAGCAAAAGCTAATAAGCAAATGTTGACATGTGAACATGATCATTATTATTTCTGCTTCATGGCTGTCTACTCGTCTTTCCAAACAGAAACAAGGTGCAGTAGAGTTTCACACATGCAGCACAAAGCACATCAAAATAATCAATACAGCTGATGTACTGACTTCTACAACGACTGTACTGTACTAACACCTGAAACTTGAACTGTACCCAAGGTAACCCAAAGTCACCTGGACATTGTAAAAAGTGCACACGCAAATAATTAGAGGAGTTGGCAGCCCCCTTGTGGTCCGTGCAGGTCGTGGAGCTAATCCTCCGGGAGGTAGCGGTATTGGTTCAGTGAGACGTTGACGGAGGCCGCATCGTTAACGACCAGAGGGCGGAGAAACTTCAAAGAGCATCAACAAGGCCCTCTAGGAGATTCTCTTTGGTCTTACACAATAGCCTGGTGTATGTGTATGAGCCCTATCAGTAGATCTGAACACGCTCCCTGGAGGTGCATTTTTCATTTCTTTTTAGCCGACGGAGGAGGCGAGAAGAAAGGAGAGCGAGCAGAGTACAGAGGAAAAGAAGAGAGGGATAGCATGCACTACTGTACAATCAATGGGAGCAATGTTCAATGGGATAAACAGAAAAGTGTAGCACTGTTTGTCTGTCTGGGACGACCTGCCCTGCATACAGAGGGCCTTGTCTTCCCTTTCGGTTTAATAATCAGTTGCTTTACGTCTGCACTATAATAAATGGAGATTAGCTTGATCAGTGAGTGGAACGTTGTCAGCTGCTTTCCAGGTTTCTATGCCCTTGCGGATCTGAATTGTTTTTATTGCGTACTCCACCCTTGCGTTTTATTTTTTCCCCTCCCTGAGAACAAGTGCAGAGCGACATTATTATACATTTTTTGTGACACCAGTGGCATTATTATGTTGAGACCTTGAGACATTTTTTTGGCATTTCATTACATGACTGCCTGAATCCAGGTCTGACAGAGGGAGGAATGAAAGTGTTCTTCTTCAACCTCCCTCTCCTCTTTCACATCTATATGCGTGTTTGCTTGGTATTCGTCTCTCCTAGGGGTTCTCACATCTGCCGCCCGTCTCCTTTTGTGTCATGTACTGTATGTCAGACCTGCAGCTGTTCACACCACCTCAGCAGCGGCATAGCCGTCCACGGGGGGAAACCAGCCGAGTGTGGCGGTGCAGGCTTAAACTGTGATGTATAGATGTGAACACTAGCATCGGGTCTGTCTTGTTGTACAGTAGATGTATACACGCTTCCATTTCTGCTGTTTATGTTTGGGTCGGTGTGTTTCAGAGAGAATCTCTTAGAGTCCAGCGTCCAGGCTGTAGTTTACCTAGCAGCAGCCTAAATATGCAGTGGAAGCAAACTGTTTCAGGACCAATAGGAGGCTGCAGCATCAACCCCAGAGATGGACTGCATGTTAAGCAGCCTGACTGTGTGTGTGTGTGTGTGTGTGTGTGTGTGTGTGTGTGTGTGTGTGT